GTTAACGTTTTAGTGGGTAAGGGTTAAACCTTCATTATACTTTATTAAACTAATGCAGTTGTAAGTTGAAAGGATAAACGAATTGTAAACAACACTCTGTACAACTATTACACTTGGCCAGAAGAGATTGACATTTATAATTACACACAAGGCAAGTACGAGCAAAATGACATAGTGTTGTGTTTCTTAATAATATTTATTTATTTAATGATATTACAAGTTATAACCAGTCTTAGTGGTTTTTACTCATCTTTGGTTCATTGACTATCAGTAATACTACTTAAATATTGTACTACCTTAGGCGTTTAATTAAGTAGGAACTATAATAATATTTTTATTTAGGAAAAATGCAACAAATTGCAAAAACCATTTTGTCCATGTAGTACAGACAAAATGACATAGAGGGTAAGAATATACTGAGATGCTAATTTTTAAGAACGCAGTTCACAAATAAATTGTTTGGTCCTTTTTGGGACATCAGCACATGAAGCTTAAAAGTGAGCTTACCAAATATCCTAACCGCCTTCGCAGGGCTCAGAACGGGAAAAGAGGATTTTGCAACAAATGCAAGTCTTTTCTTTTTGCTGGTGGATTCTTTGGTCTCTTTTTAGAAGTAGCTAGAGTAGAAATTAAATATTTTCTTTTTTTTCCTGTTCTTGGCCTCCAGTGAACTACTTTATAGTTCTTGGGAAATAGTACTATATTATTTTGTCCATTGCATTTCATTTAGTTCAAAAGTGAACAAAATTGTATAAAATAAAATTGATCTAAATTACTAGTAGTGTCATAAGTTAATTGATATTAATATAAATAATTACAATTAGCAATTAAAAAGTTCAAAAAATATAAGAAATTATCATCAAAATAAACTTTTAAATGCGAGTAACACGTCCGAATTGATTACGCGTCTATGACAATGACGCTCAACATCTGACAGGATTGTGATATGGCTTTCTTCGCGTTATACAGTCGCAACAATATAACTAAAACTAACCAATTTTTAAATAATGCCACTGGGTCATTTTGTCTATGTATGTTATTTTGTCCGTATTTCCCTTATATTAAAAATGTTTTCTAATATATCGTATATTTAAACTCAAGACTAGTGTGATTTAAGACTAGTTGTCTTAAAAAAGTACATCATATGCCTGTAGTAATTATTTTGATGTTGATTAATAAAAATAAATTGATGCACATATTTGTCTAACAACAAAAAAAAATATGATTACAAATTTAAGGAAATCTATTAAGTTTTATGTATTCCTCTTGTTCGCCACTGAGAAGATGGCCCGTAGTCAGTCGGCAGCTTTGCGACAAATGGACACCCAACTCTCGGAAATGAAAAAGATTTGCTTTGTGAATTTAACATACGTCACGCGTACGTGCTTTCTTTCGGCGTGTCATCTTCGTTTTTGTTTTTTCGATTCTTGCTTATTATTTAACTCGCAGACAGCATGCGATTCCTCGATTAGCAAGTCTCATGATAGACTGACACACACGGCTTGTTCGCACACGGTTATAATAGACCAACGGTGCCAAACGTTGCTCTATAAAGAGCAAAAAGAGACAAATTTAGACATTTTTATCAATCTTCGTAATCGATACTTGAAAGTATCAAGAATATATAAAAACACTAAATATATAAAAAACAGCTTATTAATTTTTATGGATATACGTTAATCGGGCTTTTCCGAAGGTTAATTTGGGAATTTAATCAGAGGACCCACCATCGATACACTCGCCTCAGACAGCCTGTTGTCTAGTTAGTAGTGGTGTGGCATCGTTTTTTTTTTCAATATTCAGATAGCAATATGTTTCCAACTGAAAATAGCATTGCCTGGCATTCATCACTATTACAGAAATTGCAATAAAAAATTCATTACATAGAATACGATAACTATTTATATTTGGGTTGTCATTTGCCATAGGTCAAATCATCTCAACTTAATTATAGAATCCTTAAGTTCCGATTGCTGTTCAAATAATAATTAAAAAAATATGAATGAATAAGTTCGTATGACCCTTTATAACAATCTTTTCTCTTACTTTTTTGTATTATCTTCAACAACAAACAGAACTTAAGAGTCCTATAAACTTAATACTAGTCTAATTTGACCTAATACTAGTCAGTTCTACAGATGGTAACCCAAATAGTTGTTCCATCTCTGTGTGATGAATTATTATTACAATTTCTGTAATAAAGCGAATATTGATTGATGCAGCAATGCCGGATCAGGACTATTTTTACTTGAAAACATTACTATCTATATTTCCAGGTAAAATTTTTTATTACTACTGCTTGAAGCGGGATCGAACCCGGGACGTCTGATTTAGACCAGTCGTTTTTGCCACTTATCTACAAGCGAGCCTTCTCTTACATTTAAGATTTTATTATTTGTAAGTGAAAGAATTTTGTTTGTCCCAAATATGGTAATTTTTCGGAATTGCTGTGTAGACGATAATTTTTGAAATAGATTATAAACCACGTATTATAGATAATAACACAAAATATTTGTCATAAAACGCCATGCATCTGTTAATTCAGGTTACAATTCCCAATTAAACTTGGATGTTTTCCGCGACATATTGATGAGAAAATATTATTTCGGTTATTTTTTTTATTATTCTGCAATCTGTTTTACATGAGTATTAACATTAAGCAGAGATTGCTAATAATAAATATCTTACAATCTAAACTAGAAGATAGTAGCAACACCCAGCGGCGTGTCTACTAGGTATATATCGGTTAATTTATGAATGAGAATTGCTTTCAATCATTCTTCTCTAGCGTCCCGTAATCATAAAAGCTATTTTTTATTATTTGTTTACTCAAAGATTCACATGATCGGAACTACTTAAGTGTAACTAAATATTGCAATCATTTTAAAATCTTTAAATTGTTATTTGAGTATATCTGTACTTTACTTAAAATGAAACATGCTTTATAGTTTTTGCTCATGTCCAACCCAATCATATAAAAATTACACATCCGCAGCGTGTTGGCACATCCGTTTTTTTGTCGCAATACTCCGAGTTTAATTAATCATATTCACGTGTTTTATGAGCTTTCATGACTTTTGAATTTTTATAGTTCTCGTGTCATAGAAGATACTACAGAATTATTCAAATTTTTTTATGGAACAGTTTTCACGTATACTATGATTTTGAACATACAGCGAAATTAGAGTCTTTATATGACTTGAATGGTAATATTAGAAAACAAGCACAATATCTTCTCTCATTTAATTTGATGTATATTTAAAATGAACACATTAAATAAAATAATATATAATATTGAATAATTTGAATATTAAGTAAATTAAAAGGTGTAGGTACGCGTCGTATTGTATTACTTCTCCAATATTACATCAATTAACATAAAAAAATACAGTATCGGCTTAAAAAACTGTTTAAGGAAACTATTATTACAATAAAACTTTCAATTTCGAATATTATTACAATAAAACTTTTAATTTCGAATAAAGATGCTGAGCATGACGAAGCATCTTGCAAAATCGTTTTTGTGGTTAGTTGAAATGGTTGTATACCCCATGCTTGCGTAATTTTGGTCGCAAAAAATTGATTTATTCACATTAAATTTCATATTTTCTTACATTTTTTACAAATTGCTATTAGCAAAAACCCAATGGTTGTTCATTCCAGTTGTGATTGCAATAGAACTTAGAGTTTCTACCACGAAAACTGAATTTCATATGTTATATGAATTTAATTATATATGGTAGGGCGGGGCACAAAGGTTCAATTTGACTTTATATTGTGAAAACTAAATCAATTATATCACAAAAAATAACACATATCAAATAAACCACTATCTGACGTGTTTTTTGCTGTTTTTTTTCAAAAAATTGCCACCTGGTGCTTTTTACCTCATAGGCGAGATAAAATAAGACGACTGTCTTATTTTAAATTTTGAAGAAATTTTACAAAATAATAGATACATTATGCAAAATATAAATTTTATGGGTACATTTTCTACAAAAATTACATTATATAAAAACTTGATCTGATATTTCATCAGCAGAGTTGGAAATATGGTCCGAAATTTATACCTTTGCAAGGTTCAGTTAGTCCTTTCAACCTCAACCACGTTTAATCGTTTATATAAAAAAACGGTTCAATCTAACTTAAAATTAACAGTACATCTTATGAAACAATTAAATAACGGTTACTTAAAAACTGAATTAAGGTTTTGTAAACTAAACAACTATACTCACAACCAAAAAAACTAACATCGAAAGAAAATACTTTTTTTATGGATTTTCAAACATAGTCTTTTATATCCTGAAAGCGGCATCGTAAGAATTGAGGTGGTGGCTAGTTCTTCAAAATATTGTTATTAAATAATTCCTAACTTCACTTGTTTTTGAGATATCGGTGATGGTCCTTTTATTCGCGGACCTTTAAGCCTCTCTCTACCCTGTACATATATGCAACCGTGTCACCACTTTTTTATATATGACTAAAATTAAATTGCACTTGGAGTTTAAAAGTTTAAATTAAAATTTAAAAGGTTAAACAAGTCCCTTAAATCGCACTTTTGAATATCCATGATTTGTAACAGTTGTTTGGATACACAATGCAATCTATCATTAATGTAATCCAATATCATAAATTAGGCGTTTTCAATTGATCGCCGCCAGCGACGAAAATTTATTGACGTCGTAATTTCGAAAACAAAAATAATTGCTGTAATTTGGTGCTACAGGACGGCAACTTACATATATATTTGGAGTCGTTCGTGATCAGAATTATAGTAATAAAATTGCTCGGTATAAATTATGTGCAATTATGATTTTCATAATAAGTGTTGATGGTTTTCTTATTATTAATTAACACGACTTATTAGATTTTGCATAATTATATATAATTTTGTGTACTAATGTATTCTCAAGTATATAATAATGTGCTGATATTCTGGATTACGTTTATGTATTTTACACTATGGAAATTTATTTAATACTTTATCTCATTTCTTACAGAGCACAAGATTTTGAGAGAACTCCGCCACGTGTGCCTCTCCCGGAGGACTCAGAAAAAGTTGAAGATCTCAGTACTGAATCTACTGAAAAAAAAAAGAAAAAGGTAAACAAATATTTTTAGGTGTGTTCAATGCAATTATTTATTATCATTACATTTTGATATCACGGTTTGTTTAACATACCCGTTTTATAGAGTAAGTCAATTATAGATTTCTTCTTATTATTTTGCCATCACTTTTTATTTGCCAATCATTATACCTGTACGAAAAACACGAAATGGCATACTTGCTGTAGAGCGTTCAAGGATGTAAAATTCGTCTAGACTGCAGTCATGTTAGTTCCGGAAGGTGGGACGTTCCCAGATCGAATTCATATAATATATTAATAACCAGGTTTCCTCGAAATGGAAGAGATCACTATCCAAAATATATTATAATTCATTCGCCCGAATGTTTTGCACGAAACCCAATAAGTGATAAATTCACGGCGAGGTCATTAGCACGCAGGGGGTATCGGGATTCGTAAAATGAGAAGGAGATAGATTACCAGATTATCAGAATTTAGCTGAGAGTAAAGTTTCTAAACATCGTGGCTTTAAACATTAATTTATCGGTTATTTTGCACTTTTTCATTTTAAACGATATTTAACTGCCATAACGCGAGTTATGGAGTTAAATATCGAAGTTTTGGCATTTCAATATATTTTATAGTCAAATTTATCCGAACTTTACTTGAATACTTATATTGTATATAAAATATTACTAAATTTGTTACTTTTTCATATTGCATATAAATTCCACTAAATTATACAAATTTTCTTTGCATATTAAATATTGCTGAAATCCATTGCACAGATCATTTAACACTAATCATACCAAGGAGTGTCAAATGACCATTTAACACTAATCATGCAAGGAGTTTTGAACTTAGAATTGGAAAGGCACCTATAATTTTATTGTTTTTGAAAATATGACGGTCGGAACTTTTCGTACTAATCATTTTATTTATATAGTTCTATTTTTTTTATGTTTATTTTGAGTGATGAATGTACTCGCAAAACACCGTACTTCTATAACACGGTTTCACTCTAACACGTTTCAAGAATTGAGACTCTCCCTCTCATAACACGGTACTTTTAAAGTACGGGTTTGCTATAATATAGTTTGAGAATTGAGCAAAACCCTAATAAAATAACAAATATAGTGAAACCTATTAAAATCAAACTTTATCTAATCTAAAATGAGTAAATTCGCCATACGAAAGCTCAATAAATGTGATGAAACTAATGCAAAAGCTAAGTACATAATTTGATATTTATTATTTGAGCGCATACGTTCTATCGAAAAAATTCTAGGATCATCCAAACAATATATTTCATATTTCATAAAGAAAGATTCTTCAAATAAAATGAGCATAAAAGTTTATTAAATATAACTTTGCATGTGTTAAATATATAAATATCATTTTGCTGAAAGCAAGCATTCTTTTATTTTACAAATAATATCAAATATTTTACAAATAATATCAAAATTTCAAATGGGACAAAACCTGCAGTAAAAATTTATTTGAAAACATGAAAAATATATTTTTTGAAAAATCTTAGATGTAAAAAATGCGATGAGCAATGACTTAAAAATTCGTATTTATTACGTTTGTGAAAGAAAATACGTTTATTAATTATGATAAATTGTATTTTCAGATTATTTCCAATTAAATTCCATATTTCATACACTTGAGCAAGTGGTAAGTCATTTGACTAGCTGTTGTAGGAATAGGTCATTTGACCCGCTATGGTAGGAATAAGTATACGAAAAGCATACGATTAGTGTTAAGGAGAAAAGGGTCATGAAACGACAGAAATTATGATATTTTAATTATCATGCAGAAAAATAACTGATTTTTTTATTTTTCCGTTTACTGCAGTTTAACGCCTAATTTTGTGCTTTGTATTCAGCGGTAACAATTAACTAGAAAAACATATGGACAACTTTTTTTGTAGACTATGTTATTATTTAATGCACTTCTCAATATAGTTTAATACTCCATTAACAACTAACAATCGAGTAACGAATTTGATTATTTCTTTTCCACTTTGGTTTTTTCATTGTGTAATCGTGTTGATAAAGTTTATAACACGTGTAATATACTGAATTATGATATTATAATCTATCTAATATTTTCCAAGCTTTTTACAAATCCTTCTCATGAAACTAAAGTTTCGAAATCTAATATATATTATATAAAATATTCGCTTATTTTAAGAAAAACTGAAAAGAGCATGATATATAATACTCTATACTGTAATATGAACTTTAACTTGTGCTAGATTTTACGGTTTATACAAAAAGGTGTGAAGTATTACCGATTTGCCACTCGTTTACTGACAGCTTTACTCTTACATGCTTTTTGTCATGTCGCAGAAAGATTTATTTGCCGTGGCTTTTTCTCTTAAACCGGTAATACGCTGCACTTTCCTCGGCAATTCTAAAATAGTACCTGCGCTTTTTAAAAGTTGGCGAGAAAGCACTTTGTCATGCAAAATTGTTTTAATTTAAAAAAAACATATCGCGTTAGTGAATATCTACATGATTGCGTGAATTTTATTATTTGTTAATTAGTCGAAGGTTTTATGTTATTAATATTGCAAAAATTCTTAAATAAAGTTCAGTATATATATCTTAGATATCCGCAATGTAATTTTTTTTAACATATTTTTTTTCAAAATTTAATAAATTTACTCAAACTAAAACAGTAATTAGGTCATTGTAGTATTTGTATAGTTTCATACACTACTAGTTGATATTTATGTTATTTTGTCCTATTATACCTCAATTATGTAATAATTTAACCAGTTGTAATTTGACTTTGAGCAATTATATTGTGAAAGTTTTTACTGAAATCTAAACCAATCATTTTACAACAACTAACACATGTCAAACAAACAACTATATGACTATGTCTGCTCAATAAAACTCCCAGGTAACCATTTATCATTATAGAAATGTGTTTTTTTTGCTGTTTTTCCAAAATTTGTCATCTGCTCCTTTTTATCCCATGCGCGAGGTAAAATGGAACGGCCAGGGGGCAAACAGCTCCATTGTTATATTTTAAATTTTAAAGAAATTTTGCGAAATAATACCTACAATATTTAACCAATGCAAAACATAACTAGTGGTGTATGGCATCGTGCCTTAAGCCAAATTGCCGGAACTTTTCGTACCGTAATGAAATATTCGAGGAATATTAAATGTTTTCGAATAGATTGTTATAAATACTGAAACTTAATATGTTTACAGAAAAGTAAATAAACAAAACTTAATCAATCGAATTTAAAATTGACATTGTATAATATTTATAGGAATTATATAAACTGAATTGCAAAGTTGTACTTATTTATTTGAAGTCAATAATATATAAAATTTAAATATAAGTATATAATTGAGCTTTAGAACTTTAGTTAGAAAAAAAATTCCATATTAAAGAATTATTTTCATTATCAAAGAAAATTTTTTTTTGGAAATAAAAAATTAAAAAAAATCCAAAAGTACTCGTTTCGTCAACACAAGCAGAAAGTTTTTTGAATCATTCTAATCGGATACTCCGTTCTCTCAAAATCTTAATTTTTATTTCCTGCACTTTTTGCTTCGTATCTCCGAAACGGCTCGACCTACCTTTGCCAAAAATTTTTCGAACCATTCAAATCCGTTGATTCGTGCGCCCGGATAAAAAAATTGTATCCATACATACATACACACCATACACACACTCAAACATCCATTTTTTTTTTTGACAATGAGGTATGCGAAAATGTTCAGAAATATTTGAAACGCGAAGAAATGTAAAAATTTTAAATTTCGATTTTAGGACGATTACTATAACTTACCCTATGGGAAGTTAAAAAGATGCACTTATGATAACATTCTGGATTTGACATTTGTGCGTTTTTTAGGTTAGGTTTTACATTCATAACGTCCGACTGCACAGCAAATACATAGCATTTAGACTGCATTTATTACCAAGAAAGCATCGTAAAATAGCGTTGCCATAACAACGCTATGTTACCGGAGAATTGACTCACAAGTTTACATGATACTAGACCATTGTTATATGTATCAGTATCATATTACATTGATTCACATGTTTAAAAGTGAAAGTGTTCAAATTCTATGGATTGCATATATTCAGAGTTTCGCATTTTATGTAACGATGTTTTTACCAAAAAAATAATTTCCAGAAATCCATGCAGTTGTTCATTCAACCTTTAAATAGTTTTTTTTGTTGTTTTGCACCGACTTCGCGTCGTCATTAACTGTAAGTCGTAGTATTGTAACGCATCTGTTGTCGTGTTATGCCGTCTTAAATACGGAAAGCTTCAAATCCTTTACATTAGCGTTTTTTCTAAGGCTGTCACGCGTTGACAAACATGCAGTGCTCGAGACCTCGAGTCGAGTCCAGCCCGCGGATGGCACTTCACCGTTCGTCGCGCTCGGCGGTTAGTTCTCCGTTCGTATCTGCAATAGTAAGGGATCCGGAATTACTATCGACATGGCTATCAGGAAAATTAATTCTTTTTTTTTGTTTTTACATGGTAAAAGCCATTCCATTTGCTAGGTTAAATGCATATTTAGCACTCTATTGGTATTATATTTTTCATCAAAGATTAATGCTAAGTATGCAATTTTCTTATACATTGTTACCCCACATTTTTCCATAAAGCGTTTTTCCATGCAAATACATGAAAATAAAACTAGCTGTAAATGGAATTCTGGCAATTAAGGCATCGTGCCTTAAGGCAAATTGCTGGAACTTCCCGTACCGCAATTCAAAATTCGAGTAATTAAAAATAATCAATAGTAATCAATAAAAGTTGATCAATGATTTGAAACTTTTAATAAAATTTCGAACCATATTAAATCATTCTATCTTAAATCATTTATTTTGAATTATTTTGGAAATTCTGAACTTTTTTCAAAGCAATCGTACTGCTTTAATTGCATAAAGACGAAATATCGAAGCGCGTAAGCTCCGCGTCGCCGTCTACCCCGTAAACATTGGTACGGAACCCATACGAATGTAAACAAAATTTATACTTATTGTTAAAAT